GAATGCGAGTAGCATAGCACCTAATGTCCTGTAGTTCTTTTCATAACGTTTCAAATAATAATGTCTGTAATTTCTCGTTGTACACTTACTATGTAGTGTATGTGTTCTTGGGATGTCCCGGATGACAGGTGTTGTACACTACACTACAGGACGACAACGTTCAGGGGTTTGTTCGATTTGGCTGTCCCTGAGTGGTTCATAAATGGCATGCCGAGGATAAAGATTTGGCTTAGAAGAACGACCCCACCGTAGAGGCACCGCCTGCACATGTTTTTGGATACACCTCCAGCGAATCTCGAGAACAATAATAATGTGACCTGTCTTTGGAAGTAAGATGGAAGACGTTGTCATGGGGTTGGAGGGCTAGAGACGAGAGCCTTCTGGAGCAACAACAACGGCGAGAGAAAGAAGGAGATGCGCCGGGTTTGGAAGTTGCCGTCTCTTGGATCTCTCGGATCTCTGCAGGGAACAGAGATCACGGGCATCATCCGAGGCTAACACGCCATTGGCCCTGGCTGCGCGTTCGCCAGCCAAAGAGCCAGGCACTGATCGCTGTGTAGAGGGTTAGGGGTTTGTCAGCATCCGGATCGTTGAGGCTCGACAGGGCAGCTTGTGGAGGGGCACGGAAGAGCAGACGGCGACCCTCGACGGGGCGGCGGTTGACGGTGGAGCCAGACGTAGCGCGGGCCACATGCCGGCAACTCGGGTAATACATTGTTTGTGATTGGTCGGCTCTCTGGTCGAGTGAGTGCGGATCGGGTCTTGGAATCATCGAAACCGAAACTGCCCTGCATGGACGTCCTTTTGTCTGACAGTGGCAAGCCCACTTTTGGGTCGTGCGGAAGGTATCTTTCAGTGAGGATGGATGTGGTTGCGGTGCCCGTTCGGCAAGCAAGGGAACTGGAGGTGCTCTCGAGTCCAACAGGCCAAAGTGCCACTGGGTCGGCTTCTGAGTGAGTGAGGTGTGGGTGTAGTGTAGAAACCAATTGTCAAATATTTGCTACGTGACCCCGACTCCCGAGCCCGTAGGGAAATTCGCAATTGTAATAATCCAACCCGGGCCACGCCGTCCAGCACCACCACCACCCACTCCATTCCCGTCGTACCCGTCCATCCTACCACTACCTACCTATCCCCAAAAACCCACCATCCCGTCCCGCCCGTCCTCCCCCCCTTCGACACCTCACCTACTCACCTACCGACTGTCAGTAGTAGTGAAGTGTTGTTGAACAATGTCCTCTTTGGCTTGGAGAAAGTTGGCTGCGGCGCCCACGGTGAGTGCTTTTCCTGTCTATTCATCTGGACCTCGGTGCTGTTTTTCGTGCGCGCATTGGCACCCTTGCAGAGCCGAGGAACAAAAGCGGGGAGAAATCAGGTCGTGAGGAGGAGGAGGAGGAGGAGGAGGAGAGAGAATGAAGCTCTTGGGGATCTCCAATCGCAGTATTGTGCACATGGAGACAGGAAGCGCAGCAGTCTACACACACCGAGAGAAAAGAACATTGTCACTGACCAGAGTCTCGTCTTCACCAGCTCGCGCGTGCCGCCAGCAGAGTCCAGAACAGAGCCTTTTCCTCGACAAGGCCGGCCGGTGAGTCCGAAGCATCCCGTCCTCCCACCCTCCGATCTCCCCGTTCCGCCTTCCGCCGTCGCGCGCACTGCGCCTCACGGATGCCGCAAAGGGTACTACTGTTCATGTTCACCCAAGGCTAACCGGCGACATCACAGCCCGCGTCATCGCTCCCGGTCCTCTCCGTGCTAAGGAGGCTTCTCCCCATCTCAGCAGCAAGTACCATGTCATCGTACGTGATATCCCATGCTATCCGATCACATGGAAAATCCCGCCCAAGAGGTGTTGACACGATCTCCCCTTTCTCAGGACCACGAGTACGATGCCATCGTTGTCGGTGCCGGCGGTGCCGGTCTCCGTGCCGCTTTCGGTCTCGCCGAGGCCGGCTTCAACACCGCCTGCATTTCCAAGCTCTTCCCCACCAGATCTCACACCGTCGCTGCCCAGGGTGGTATCAACGCTGCGCTCGGCAACATGCACGAGGATGACTGGAGGTGGCACATGTACGACACCGTCAAGGGCTCCGACTGGCTCGGTGACCAGGATGCTATTCACTACATGACCCGCGAGGCTCCCGCCTCCATTGTCGAGCTCGAGAACTACGGCTGCCCCTTCTCCCGTACCGAGGACGGCAAGATGTAAGTCTCTAGCCCGGGAAACCGTGCTGTCCGGAGCGCCCGAGGATGATTGCTTACAGTCTACACTCTCTACAGCTACCAGCGTGCTTTCGGTGGTCAGTCCAAGGAGTTCGGCAAGGGTGGCCAGGCCTACCGCTGCTGCGCTGCTGCCGATCGTACCGGCCACGCTCTTCTGCACACCCTCTACGGCCAGTCTCTCCGCCACAACACCAACTACTTCATCGAGTACTTCGCCGTCGACCTGATCATGCAGGATGGCGAGTGCCGTGGTGTCCTCGCCTACAACCAGGAGGACGGCACCCTCCACCGTTTCCTCGCCAACAACACCGTCCTCGCCACCGGTGGATACGGACGCGCCTACTTCTCCTGCACTTCCGCCCACACCTGCACCGGTGACGGTTCCGCCATGGTTGCCCGTGCCGGTCTTCCTAACCAGGATCTCGAGTTCGTCCAGTTCCACCCTACCGGTATCTACGGCGCCGGCTGCTTGATCACCGAGGGTGCTCGTGGTGAGGGTGGTTACCTCCTCAACTCCGAGGGTGAGCGTTTCATGGAGCGCTATGCCCCTACCGCCAAGGATCTCGCCTCCCGTGATGTCGTTTCCCGCTCCATGACCATGGAGATCCGCGAGGGCCGTGGTGTCGGCCCCGAGAAGGACCACATCTACCTCCAGCTCAGCCATCTTCCTGCCGAGATTCTCGCCGAGCGTCTTCCCGGTATCTCTGAGACCGCCGGTATCTTCGCTGGTGTCGATGTCCGCAAGCAGCCCATCCCCGTCCTTCCCACCGTTCACTACAACATGGGTGGTATCCCCACTCGCTACACTGGTGAGGTTCTTACCGTCGATGAGCAGGGCAACGACAAGGTTGTCCCTGGTCTCTTCGCTTGCGGTGAGGCTGCTTCCGTCTCTGTCCACGGTGCTAACCGCCTTGGCGCCAACTCTCTTCTCGACTTGGTCGTCTTCGGCCGTGCCGTCTCCCACACCATCCGTGACAAGTTCACTCCTGGCTCCAAGCTGAAGCCCATTGAGGCCGACGCCGGTTCCGAGTCCATCGAGGTCCTCGACAAGATCCGCACTTCCGACGGCCCCAAGAGCACTGCCGAGATCCGCCTCGCCATGCAGAAGACCATGCAGCGCGACGTCTCCGTCTTCCGTACCCAGGAGTCCCTTGACGAGGGTGTTGAGAAGATCACCCAGGTCGACCAGATGTTCGACCAGGTCGGCATCAAGGACCGCTCCATGATCTGGAACTCTGACCTCGTCGAGACCCTCGAGCTCCGCAACTTGCTCACTTGCGCGTAAGTGGCCCTTGCGATGATTTTGAATAAATGGTGAATAGATACTGATGAAATCGTGAATACAGCACCCAGACCGCCGTCTCCGCCGCCAACCGCAAGGAATCTCGTGGTGCCCACGCCCGTGAGGATTACCCCGAGCGTGACGACAAGAACTGGATGAAGCATACCCTCTCTTGGCAGAAGCAGCCCCACGGCAAGATCGAGCTCGGTTACCGCCGTGTCATTGACACGACTCTTGACGAGAAGGAGTGCCCCCCTGTTCCTCCTTTCAAGCGTGTCTACTAAAGAACTCAACGACTGCGCGATTTTATGATACGAATTCGATAATGGAGTCGTGTTTTATCCGCTGAAGAAAAGGCGTTCTTCATGAGTTATAACCTCACATGGTGCCATTGTCGGAGTCGGTCCGGTCGGTCGATGTTTTTCTATGATCACAGGTGGTGGTGCAACATACGAAATTATCAACAAAAGACGTTAACAAATCCGCCAAAAAGCTCTTCTGATACTTCGCTAAATGGGGTGCGATATTAATGGAGCCCTTGGCTGAGTTGGTAGGCGCGGTTGGTTTTATTTTCTACGTGCTTTGCGACCGTCCATGTGTGCGTTCATTGTACAGGTTTTTGGGAAAGAAAGAAGCATACATGAATATTGCATATAGCCCAGGATGGAAGGGAAGATAGGAAACGACAAGCGAGGGTTGGAAAAGAAGAACAACCGAATCAAGGGTCCTCGATCGGGTGGTCAGGCCTCAACGGTTGGACGAATACCCTGAATTTTGCTCTCGACCAACTTTGGATAATGGTTATCATACCTTAGACGCAGGCGAGAGAGAAAAACAGAGAGAGGTGGAAAGATCGAAAGAAAGGAGGAAAGAAGGGTGGTCGAAAGGATTGCATGTGGATGTAAGCAAGCTTAAATACTGTAGTCTTGTTTATAACTTTAACGGGCTTTTTTTTTTTTTTCTTTTGCGACGAAGATTTGGCTCGTTACCACTGGTGTGATTGACTCTTCCGTCGACGATTGATCATGTTGATGCTCTGATTATCCCCGGCATGTACCCTTGTGGTTCGCCGAAGACAACATTCGTCGGAATGAGTTGGAATTTAACTACCCTTTTTCTTCTGGGTACAAAACTTAAGTAAGGAGCTGAGGAATGTCACTTTTACATGTTAGGCGTTTTTGAAGGGTGATGTAACAACCGTTTTGAAATATCAATCTCAAGAAGCTAACCGCTGAGAACATACAGACACCAGAATCATAATAGCTGTCTACCGACAGGCAATACCGACATGAACTCAACACCTAAACACCATGCGCTTAACCATTGTGTAACAGCTTCGTTACGAACCTCGCCCTTCGGTACAATCCAAGTATCTCGTTAACCGATTGGTCCCGTCTGTATCGCGGATACAATAATCTCGCACCCTCCCCAGTTAACATGTCTTTTCCCTTTGGTCCAACTCTCGACTTACCATCACCATCCTTAAGCTCCTCCCTCAATTTGAAGCCTTGACAGGCTCTGGCACGATCTCAACCTTCTCGCAAGCGGTATACCAAATCGCTGCCTCGATGATCTTGCAAACAATTCGTAGGTCGTTTTCATCTGTTGACGCCACACAGTCTTGTCAGCCCATCCACCTCAATCTCATCTCTGTTGGGCCACACAAACAAGATCATGGGAATTACTCACCTCTAGGTGCATAAACCATAGTAAAAGTCTCCGGCACCGGACTCCTCACCGGCCACCACCACCACCAAGATTCCCCCTTCCCTCCCCTTTTTCCACCAGAAGTACCACCACCACGACGACCCCTCGTCGACCAAGCCATAGGATGTCTTTCCCCCACCCCTTCTCCAACACCTCCTTGATATCATCCGGATGCAGATTCGTGTGCATGCTCCTGTCAGAATGCGTATGGATATGGCAGATCTCCCCGTTTCCGCAGACGTTTACGGGGTGGCGCGAGAACAAAGCGAAGCCGTGTTTTTCTAGGCAAGACGTGGCGGTGACGAATTGGTTAGGGTATCGTTGCGCAAGAGACTCGAGGGAGCTGCGCAGCGCGTTGTAGATGGGGAGGGGGCCGGCCTGGTTGAGTTGTCTTTGGGGGGCAAGGCCGGCGACGGAGGGGCGGGGGCCGGGGCGGTAGGGGAGACCACCAGAGGCTGCTGCCTTGTCGTTGTCGTTGTGCCCGGTGGGATCATTGGTATTATTATTATTGTTATTATTGATGGCCAGGATCCCCGCAGAGGGAAGCTGACTCGGATCCCTCTCCGGCGCCTGCAACGGGTCGCGGATGGTGAACAGGCGATAAAAAGTCAACCGGGCGTAGCCCGACGGCGTCGGGGGTGTCCCGCCGGGGCCGAGCTTGAGAAAGTTGAGATAGTCGTTGTGGATGAGCAGCATGATGGGCACGGAGATGATGGTGGCTTCGAGCAAAGCGCGGTGCACAAAGTGCATCCCCAGGACGGTTAGGATGGAAACGGCGAGGAGGGCGGAGGCGTCTAGGGTTATGTAGAAGGGGTCTTGCCGGATTACCATGTTAACTTGAGAGGAGGTCGCTGTCACGGGCTCGTCGGAGGATGAGGAGGTTGGTTGGGAGAAGGCAGAAGGCATCTTTGGGGTTTCGGAGGTTACTGTGAGAGACATTTTAGGAGTGGCGGTTGGCGACTGAGGTCGTCGTCGCTGTTCTTGGTGGGAGTTTAGTAAAGGTGGATGATGTGTTTGAGAGGTCCAAAGACCAAAGGGCTTTGATCGTCCTCTTGGACGTTATCGAACACAACTTGTTAGTAGTCTCAGCAACAATGGTTGAGAAATGCCGAGTTTGGCTGGGCGACAGCGGCTTTTTGTATGACGAAGGGAATGCGAGTGATCAAGCGAAAGCTGTACCTACAGGTGCACAGACGGGTGTGATGCATTTCTTCGTTACATGAAAAGACGTGCAGTCGGAATGCAAGTCCTTTGCGCAGCCTGTTATGCGGGTGGTAGTGGTGCTGCTGACGATGATGCCCAACCAAATAGAAGTCTTATATCACAGCTCCGACAGACTTGAAGTGAGACTCGATGCGATGGCTAGCAGCCGTTGTGAGATGAGATATCGTCGAGCACGTGCCGGATGCCTACTAGCAATAATAACAGACAATCGAACGTGCACAATGTTGTGTTGAACAAAGAAGAAAGACAAGACGACGAAAGATCCCACTGACAACATATCAAGGTATACCGTATCCTACTTTGGTGAAGGAAAATTTGAAGGGCGAAGTCACCATCAACCATGTAACCCCACCCGGACCAAGGATGATATAGATTGCACGACTAGTTATATCGTACCTCTGGTGTGCAATGTCCTACTAATAGGCGTAGATAACAAGCTGGCGGCATCCGCTCTTCTTCAAATCTGCTGTTGCTTGTCACATCGAAGAGAGGACCTTTCGACGTTCGGACTGACATACTAGACTGGCTGGTTCGGGTAAAGTGTCCCCACCTACATCATAACAGCGGTTTATAATGCATCTGCCCGTTTAGGGCTGGGTACGTTGTCGTTTGAACCGTGTTTAATACTTTTTATTTGTATAATCTGTTCATACTTCCGCTACCTCGTATGACAGATTTTTGGGAACATGGTATCAGACAAAAGAGACCGTCAAGCACTTTGATTGAGGATGGCAGGTCCACAACCAAATTGGTTCAGAGAGAGTACTCAAACATATCGTCGGACCGAGTGGTTCGGGTTAAAAAGAGCGGACAAGTGATGTACCTCTTAACGGCCAGCGGTATGACTGAGGAAAACCCTCGTTTGCTAGTAATCTCGATGAAATGACGTCTGCGGGGTGCCAACGGGAGGGCTGGTCGGTGTTTGGTATAGAAACCACGGCTCGCGCAATTAGTTTCAACGTTCTGGATTTGTGGATGCTCCCCTCTGGCAGACCGGACCTCAAACGGTTGCCTCAACCCAGTGGCATAGAATGTCTCATGGCCATCTTACGGTGGAACATTCCTAACCGTCTATCCCGCGTAGAGGTAGCGTGGCCGCGTTTCAGACAAAAATTCATATTGATGAACCTTCGCATTTCAGACTGAGGCCGTTCTCTCTAACCTGAAGTTGAGGTGGGAGTGGTCAGCAGGACTGTTCCTTCGTCCTTGGCTTCTCCTCAAACCTCATTTATGACTTCGCAGGAATCAAGCCGGCCTGTGCAAGCACAACATAACGAAGCAGACATCAGATTCAATATCCGAATCAGCATCCGTAGTGTGAGGAATGCGAATGTCGTCGTCGTCCGAAGGCTGAAACAAGTCGTCGTCGTTAGGTTATCATTCTCCATGAGTCGACGTCATCCGTGGACCCGGCTCGTGGACAACATGGATTCGCTACATAGGTGACTGCGATTGGCCGGCACTGCTTCTACCCCACTTCAGGTGACACCCTCACGACCCTGAAGTCGTCGAACCTTCATTCTCTCTTCACAGGTTCAGACAATGGAGTTTCACACTCACCAATAGCAGCACGAACTGCCAAATAATCGCGTACATGTCAACACCCAGTCGATATGACAAAGAACGCCTAGAAGAAACACACCCTATCAACACTGCGGGATAGGGACAACATTCTGTCATGGCCAGAGACTCCTTGTCCTCTTCCTTCTGATGGGCTGAGCCGTCGAGGTCGTGGAACTCAAGACCAACCTCTCGAGATCAGATGCTGGTGGTTAGGTGCGATTCGATTCGCGTATCATGCCTCCGTTCTAAAAACGCGTTGCTCAACGGCAACGGACGCATCGATGTCTTCGCCCGCGTCAACACACTGCAGCCTCCACAGCCAATCAATGCGGGGTCTCCGCACGAAAACGCCAAGGTTAACCGGGATGCAGGGGACCAGCCTCCTAGAACTCTCCGTCGCTGCTTGGATGCACCTTTCAGAAGAGGAATGCGATTTTTTATGATCAGTTCAACATTTTCCAGAAGAGTGTATTTACAGGCCATCTTTATTCGGGGTTGTCAGTTAGCGATAATCATAATCCAGTTCACGACCTCCAACGCGACAGGACCCGGCGTCAGCTGCTTCTACCCTAGGCGCATTCCTTAGCCGATTTGCAGAGCTTCTTTTATTTTTCAAGGTTTTGCGATCGAGCCAGGCATATGTACGCCTCTACGGTTTGCGACAGACGGTGTTAACTGTGAGGAAACATCTCATCGAGCTATGGTTTGCTTTCCGCCTCAGAAGCCCTGAGCCTGACCCTGTTATTCTATGTAGTACCCCGGGCAGTTCCCATTTCCACCATGGGGCTAAGTAACCTCAACCCGCTGCGGTCGCGCGATGCGAAACGTCCCAAGTTGCCCATGCACACGCAGCTGAACCCTACAAGCTCATCATCACCTACGAAGGAACGTTACTCCAATGTCGATAGTTCTTCGGACGATTACTCCTCCGGTGATTCCTCCGATGACTTTTCACGGTCCAGACCTGACCCACGACGGTCTCGACATGCCTCCTCCTCAGCTTCCTCGAACTCCGGGCTGATGGCGCAAAGGCTGTCGCCCACCTCCCAGCGCCGCTCCCCTCGAAGACATCTCTATAGACTACCAAACAAGGTTATACGAGTATTGTGTATCGCCTTGATCACGACCATTGTCGTCTTCATTTTCGGTCTCGTGCGAGCAAGCCAGATGGAAAACAGAAGGATAGCTGAAGGGAAGGTCGAGAAAAAGCCACCACCTCCGCCGCCGTGGGAAAACTTCAAGTTTCTTACCCGATACTATGGCGGACTCAAGACATTGGTACCTGTTGAGGAAAATGTGCCCCAATATCCCAGGTTTGAAGATGAAGCTCCCTACAATGCAAGTGCGCCCTCCGCGCAGGAGGAAGGGGACAAGTCTGGCAAGAGAGATACTGCAGAGGGCTCATCAGCGGCAACCAAGACCATACCACCAAGCAAGTCATTCATGGACCATCCGGGTTCGGTTGTTCCAAACAGCCGTCAAGGATTCCAGGAGTGTTTCCTCGACGAACAGAAATCGATACGAATTCCCCCCATCCAATACTACGATGGCCGCCCCAGTGGATTTCCGGATAATGTTGTCGGCTCCTACGAGCTTCTTTCTCTTCCCGAAGACATCTGCTTCGACCGATTCGGCAGATATGGCCCGTATGGCTATGGCTATTCGGTCAAGACAGGAGGCCTGGGTGTTGGCGAGCACGGCGACCGAGTTGGAGCTGATGAGGTCTGGAAATCGACCAAACAGGTGGATTGGAGCAGCAACATCGACTGGGCTGAAGCTCAACGGCGGTGCTTTAAAGCCAATGAAGGCCGTTACAAGCCAGTTGAAGCACATAAGAACCCTCTTCAAGGCTTCTATATCCAGGAGCAAGACGGAAAATCAAAACTGAAGACCAGAGCGGACGTCCAATCTTCCGAGATCACGGCTGGAGAGAAAGAAAACGGGTCCGCCACACCTGAAGTACCCAAACCAAAGGGCGATGTTCCCCGGTCCGCCCTTGTTATCAGAGCCTGGGACGAGATCGACTGGAACGCCGAGAAGATTCTCAATCTTCGCGCCCTTGTGGCTGAACTGTCTCTCGCCTCTGGCGGTCGCTACGATGTACATCTCTTGGTACAGGTACGCAATGACGGAAAGAATCCCGTCTGGGCCGACGACGAGGCCTACCAAAAACGTATCAATGACACCATCCCCGCAGAATTCCGTGGTATGGTAACTTTATGGTCTGAAACCCAAATGCTCGCCATCTATCAGGGTGTCCGCGACCTTTGGACCAAGGGCCCTGAACTCCCTGTCCATGGTTCCTATCGTGGCTTGCAGATGGCTATGCAGTACTTTGCCTATAAGCACCCCGAGTATGAACACTTTTGGCAATGGGAAATGGACATTCGCTACACCGGCCATTACTACGACCTGCTATCCAAGCTGGAGGCTTGGGCCAAAGAGCAGCCGCGCAAGGGCTTGTGGGAGCGTAACGCGCGGTTCTACATGCCGTACGTGCACGGCACCTGGGACGACTTCAAGCAGATGGCGCGTGTGCAAACCGAGCACGGCATCGTCGGCGCCGACAACATCTGGGACAACGCCATCAAGAAGGGCGGTAACAAGGACAAACAAGAATCGCCCAATCAAGTGAAGACTAAGGGCGAGAAAAGCGTCTGGGGTCCGGAGCGGCCTAAGGACGAGAAGGACTGGTTCGAGCATGACCGGGATCCTGTCCCGCCCACCAGCTACGAGCGCGACAAGTACGCCTGGGGCGTTGGCGAGGAAGCCGACTTGATTACGCTCAACCCCATCTTCAACCCGGAGGGCACCACCTGGGAGCTGGCCGACGACATCACGGGCTACAACGAAACAAGCAACATCGGCAAGCCGCCACGGCGCGCCCAGATCATCACTGCGAGCCGCATGTCCCGCCGCCTGCTGCTTACCATGCACCGCGAGACGGCCTTCAAGAAGCACCATGCCTTCCCGGAGATGTGGCCGGCCACGGTTGCGCTCCATCACGGCTACAAGGCTGTCTTTGCCCCTCACCCACTGTTCGTCGACCGCGAGTGGCCAACCGAGTACATGGCGCACATCCTCAACGGCGGGCGCAACGGAGCCTCGGGCGGGTCGAGGACGTCCGTGTTTGGTAACCGCGAGCATAACATGAGGGGCCTGACATGGTTTTATAATGCCGGGTTCTCAGCTAACCTGTACAAGCGGTGGTTGGGGCTCAAAATTAATAATGATGGTGGCGAGCAGTTCGAGCTGAAGCCGGATAATAGCGCGGATGACCAGACGGTGTCGACGATGCGCGGCGGCGAGGGGAGGATGTGTCTGCCGCCTATGCTGTTGCATCCGGTTAAGGACGTTGTGTTGCCGGTTGAGCAGGAGGCGGAGGAGGCCAAAATCACGATCCCAGAGTCGGATCCGTCTGCTTGAGTGTTTAGTTTGTTTATTTCGTTGAGCGGCGTTTGAGCGATATGTCTAGTGATAACTCTGCTTTGGCCTCAAGTGTCTTGAGTTTGGAGAAGCTTTGAACAGGTTGGGAGTGGCGTTGGTGAATATGACCTAGATAGCAATGCATCATGAAGTAATGTTAGACATAGAATCGACGAATGGAAGACATCTTTCATCGGGACATCTTGAATACATAGTTCACATGCGTGAGACACGCTAGATTTTCGTCGTCATGTAGTAGGCAGTTCCATTATCATATCATTTGTTTTCGTATCCCCATCCGGCTGACCCATTCCAAGCGCCCAAATATGAATGGTTCCCAAAGCAACTTGTCGAATAAAGCGGCTTAAGTATTATGAAATTGTTGTTGTTATTGATGAGGGGGGGAGTATTCCATCCGATGGGGAGGCAGTATCGGGGTCCAGTTCAGATAACCCGCTTGACCTAGATCAGGAGTTCAGGGGTTAGCTCTTCAGTCCTAGCCGTGTCTCCTAGCCTTCTTCTTCCTCTCCCTTCCTGCCAGAGTCTTTGAAGGAGTTGTAAACATACCTCAAAGAACCTCTTCAACCACCAGACTTGGAACAGGGACTCGCCCACCACGACGCCAACGATAAACAGGTTCCACCACTTGACGCGGGCGTTGGTGCTCTCGGCCGTGTTACGGTGGGTGCGCTCGCGCACGACAATGTAGCTCTGCTCGTCCTTAACCATCTCCAACATCTCCGACAGCTTGCGCACCTCAACTTCGAGTGGGTCCTGGGGCGCGTCCGCCTCGGAAATGTACACGATGCCGTGCACGTTGAACGAAACCTCCTTGGTGTTGGCGCCCCAGTGCTCGTTGCCGAAGCAATACACATACTTGCCGTCGTGCTTGGCCTCGAACGAGAAATCGCCGTTGGATATAGACTTTTCAAAGGTCTCGTATTGGTTTAGGGGGTTGGTGATCTATGCATCGGCCCTTGTTAGCTTCTCTGTTGCAGGCTTCTTCCTTGGTTCCTGTTCGGTGTCTGGTCTAAGAATCGAAGGTCGATGATGATGAACAGTAGATTGGCGGTCGGGCTACGTGGGGAAAGGTGATACGAAGGGGACGACGCACCCAGAAATCGATGTCGAGGTTACCGGCGCTGCCAAACTCGCGGTCGCCGACCTGGAAGGTCACCGTCATCTTGTCATCGCGATGGAGGTTCTCGTGGAAGCATTCGCGGCCGTGGGCGGGAAGGACGATGTTGTGAGCGGCGGCGGCGCCGAACAAACTGGCCGAGAGCAGCAGCTTGGCTGCTGTGAGGAATTGCATTGCGATCGATCTGCGGATTTCCCGGGGATGGCGATGAGCGAATGTGGAGTTTGAAGAGGATTCAAGCAAAGAAATGGAAGCTTCCGTTCTGGTTTCGCGAGACGTTTTGGGAGGACAACTTGGCGATTCACAATTACCCCTACCTCTCACAATTCTGGCAGGGCAGCAGAGTGGTACCTAGCGCGGCGCAAGGTCGGGTCCCGCCAGCAGCATGCAAAGAAGTACCTAGGTACACCCAGCCCGGGGCCCCTTTCCTTGTAGCTGCTACCGCGAGCACCCAGGTCCGGGTGTTTGGCCTTGGCGTGTCCCAGCATGAACTGAGACTCTGGCCTATCAGAGTTGCCGGGGTACCGGGGTCCAGGACTTCCCAGGGGGATGACTGGCTTGTGAAGCTCGAGGCTGTCAACAATGCCAAATGGCACCTTGGAAGCACAAAGGGACTGGGTAGGCCGAGAAGAAGGGTGCCGTGTCGAATGACGAGCGATTGTGAAAACATCAAGGGATTCGGTCCAATGTTCTTCCCTACATCTACAAGGTACCTAGGTAATCTTCCAGGAGGGATGGAGGGGTACCAGCAAGGTACCTCGTTGCTCCTGCGTGCTGCTCAGCCGAGTTGTTGTTGATGCAGCGAAAAGGGGCTGGCCAGATAAGGTAGTGTAGTGGTAGCTCTTGAGTAGAGGGCATATGGTGGACCGTGCACGCTTTGATGGCGGGGATGCAAGAGCCAAGGAGTCTGAGGAGTGGCCCCTCGAACCCACCCCAACCGAGCCAGCAGTCGTCCCCTCTGGCTGTTCTTTGGAAATCCGCCGGGGGCAACCAGGCGGCCATGCCAGGTGGGTGAGAGCGGGCGGGCAGGCTACTTGGTGTCGGAACGGTCGCCCTGCCCAAGAACAACTTTCAAAATCCGGTGGCAGAGACCTGACGGCCGGAGACACATTCTCGCCCGCTTGCCTTCCTTCCACCACACACCGCCATCAATCCTACCACCATCCACATTCAACACCATATTTCTGCTGCCACCGGTGACGCGCATCCCAAACATCGCCGTCCCCATTACTTGAGGACAAGCCTCCCATAGTAAGTACCCCATCATTGTTGTCGCATGTCACGATCCCCTTCTCTGGCCCCCCTGGCAGTCAGCGAATCAATCACGCCGTTGCAAGGCACCTCCGTGGTTCCCATCAGCGCTGCCTGCCACAGCTTTCCCATTCCGTGTCTGCCTGCCTCTACCTTCGCACTTGAACGCGTGCCTTCTGGCTGGTGAAGGACGTCGAGTGGCCAAACGACGCCAACTAGTTCGTTACCCGTCGCAGCCCTGCGGGTTTACCTTGTCCGTGGCATGCTGCTGTGTGCCTGAGGATAGCGAATGGCCGGACACCACTTATCTGTCCTCACGCGGGCCGTCGTCATTAAATGCCCACCCGCCGTCCCCATTGTCATTAATCGCACACTTCCTCTCAACACCACCATCCCGACGAGCATTCAACAGTCCATCTCGGCCACACCAGCGATCCATTTGCTTACGCTTTACCGCCGAAATAGATAATTTTCTACACTTGCAACTTTAGCGTCGCCTAATACACAACCGCCAAGATGGGCAACACGCTCTCGATATTCGGAAAGCTCTTCGATGGGCTCTTCGGCAAGAAGGAGATGAGAATTCTCATGGTCGGTCTCGACGCTGCCGGAAAGACCACTATTCTCTACAAGCTCAAGCTCGGTGAGGTCGTCACGACCATCCCGACCATCGGTACGCCACTCGCCATGCTCCCCCTTTAGTGCATATTGATGGCACAGACCCACTCCTCGCGCGAGCACGCTCACTGACCTGTTTGTCCAGGCTTCAACGTCGAAACCGTCGAGTACAAGAACATTCAGTTCACCGTCTGGGATGTCGGTGGTCAGGACAAGATCAGGCCTCTGTGGAGACATTACTTCCAGAACACCCAGGGTATTATTTTCGTAGTCGACAGCAACGATCGCGACCGTGTTGTCGAGGCCCGCGAAGAACTCCAGCGCATGCTCAACGAGGATGAGCTCCGCGACGCCCTCCTGCTCGTCTTCGCCAACAAGCAGGATCTTCCTGTAAGCGCTACCTCTATCTACCCGATACCTGCCATGTTCAGCAGCAACAGCAGCAGCAGCAACAGTCAGCTAACATTGCGTCTTTTAGAATGCCATGAACGCTGCCGAGATTACGGATAAGCTCGGCCTTTCCAGCTTGAGGCAACGCTCTTGGGTATGTTTTGAATTTCCCTTGTCTCACATGATGCATGCCTTTGTGCCCTAACACTTATTTTTCCTTCACGTAGTACATCCAAGCCACTTGCGCTACCACCGGTGATGGTCTGTTCGAAGGTCTCGACTGGCTGTCGACTGAGTTGAAGAAGAAGAGCCCTTAAAGTGCTGGCTACACTTAATGACAATGCCCTTACTCTGCCCGGGTCCAATATCCACGCTCGGTTAATTCCGCAATACACGCCCTTTAGCAACCGAACGAACTCACCAAACATGGTAACCAGTGGTTGACGACCGTCTCACAATAATCCGCGAGGCGGTTAAAAGGGGATAGCCAGCACTCGTTTTGCTCTTGTGATCACATTTTCGGAAAGTCAGGAACACGCTTGATTCGGGATCTTGTACAGTTTGATACATCGCAAGGAGACTTTGCCTGCTGCTTTCTCTATATTTGCGTACGTTTTATGCTAAGGGGGGTACGGATACGGTTGCGGAGAGGGGGGAAATACTGGCAAGATATGAGTGTGATGATGGATGGGGGAGGAGTTCTATGAATACCAAGCTGCCACTTAACTTACCTTTATTCCCTTTTTTTTCTTTTTTCTCTCTTTTTTTTCGTTAGAACCGCTCGGCGTCTATTGTTTTCTGGCCTGCTCGCTCCTCATCAACTCTTCATATGCTTCAGGTGAACCAACGTTTCGTACTCGATATGTGTGCTTTTCCAACTCTGTTATTGTACCTGCTCCATGGAAGTTTCATCCATATGTCAAAATTAGGCGAAATCAACTCATCAAGATCTCTGTACATACGAAAAGGCGTAATTCCTTCGTACTCACTTATCTCAAAGTTTTCAGACGGCAGACACCAACTGGAAATCAGTTCTGAACATCTAGAGAAAGTGGACGTCGCCAATGTAGCGATTACAGAAGCGACCAAGGAGGAACACCAAACTGGTGATCTCAACCCGTTCAACTGTTTTTACTGAAGTGCCGCAGCATACAGAGAACACATAATTACCTTTGAGCGAGATGAATCAGCACATATGAACTACTCAGTACTCACTGGATGTTCAAGACTGGATAAAAAGTGAGAATGACCCAAAACGCATTCACTGCTCTCTGTTCTCTGGTTGCCTACTAGTATAGTATACCCAAAGAGAATTCGTTCGTAAAACAAAAAAAGCTGGCAAAGCTATCCTCCATTCAAGAAAAAAAAACCAAAACAAAACAAAACAAAAAAAAAAAAAAAAAAAAAAAAAAAAAAAAACTCCGGATATCATGCTCTTACTGCTACTTGCCCCATCACTTCCCATGTTCTGTTTCGTTTCCGTATGTACGTAGGAGCCGACTGTTCCTTATTTCCATACTCTTTTCTTTGTAGGCCTTTCTTCCTCTTCTCTTTCTCCCTCCTTCTCTCTCTCAGTTATGGAAACCCCTAAACGCCCTACACAGCATGCTCAGCCGCATCAAGGTTATCAAGCGGGAGATACCCATCATCCTTATTCCTCCTCGCCGCACCGACACCCAGGAGATCTCGGACCTTGCCAACAACCCCACCAAACAATCCCCATCCGGCACCGCGCTTCTTCATGCGCCCCTTATTAGGACCACCACCAATCGTGTCCATCTCAAACTCATAAAGCGTCTTATCCATCCACTTCGGCCTAGCCCAGAACTTGAGGAACAAGCTGCTGACCACAACACTAACACTGCTAGCCGCCATAGCGGCGCCCGCACCCATGGGATGCAGGTGGTACCCAAACGGCAAAAAGATGCCCATGGCAAATGGCAGGCCAATCAGGTTATACATGCATGCCCACGCCAGGTTCATCTTGATGCGTCGGAAGATGGTGCGGGCGAGGTGCAGCGCGGCAGGAATGTCCATCAGGTCGTTGGGCCGCATGAGCACCACGTCGGCAGCCTCCATGGCTACGTCTGTCCCGGAACTCATAGCGATGCCGACGTCTGCGGTGGCGAGGGCTGGAGAGTCGTTGATGCCGTCGCCGACCATGGCGACGACGGCGCCGCGCGACTGGAGTTGTTGAATGATGGCTTGTTTCTGATCGGGCGAGGCGCTGGCGTAGACGTCTTCCGGGTCGATCCCGACGGCGGAGGCGACGGCGACAGCGGTGCTGCGTTGGTCGCCGGTGACGATGGCAGTCTTTACGCCCATGCGGTGGAGAACGGCGATGGCGGCGGCGGCACCGTCTTTGATGGTGTCAGAAAGACAGAGGTGGCCGGCGTATTTACCGTCGATACCAATGAAGATGTTGGTGGTGCCGGCTGGAGTGTTGGAGGGGGTGGACTTGTAGCGAGAGCTGGCGGCGGCTTCGTTGATTTCTTCGGCGGCGTTGATTGCGGATTCTGGGATCTCGATGTCGTTGTCCCGGAGGAAACGAATGTTGCCCACGTGTACACGGTAACGCGTCCTCTCCAGGGAAGTAGCTGGCTCAACCTCTGCGGTAATGCCCTGACCCACGGCTACAGTGAAGTTGCCAATGGTACCATCGATTGTTTCTTCCACCTCGAGACCAAGCTCTGTTTTGGCTGCGTTGAGGACCGCTTTGCCGACGGGGTGTTCACTGCCCATTTCAGCAAGGCCCACGAGAGTCCACCATAGACGACGGCGCCAGTCATTATCCAGCCATACGGAAACAATGTTGGTTTTGGCGACGCTCATCTTTCCATACGTAATGGTGCCAGTCTTGTCGAGAACCACTTGAGTGATCTTGGTAATGGTCTCGAGAGCAGCACCACCCTTGACCAGAATGCCGTTTTCCGCACCAACACCTGTGCCTACCATGACGGCAGTAGGCGTTGCGAGGCCGAGAGCACAAGGACAAGCGAATACAATGACGGAAATGCAAAGTTTGATGCACACCATGATCTTGCCACCACTTGCGTCCTCCAAGAAGATCTTCGGGGGAGTGGATAGGACATGGCTCAGGATCATCCAAGTAAAGAATGTCATCATACCAAGGAATAGAATCATTGGGACGAAGTAGCCAGCCAAAGTGTCCGCCAGGCGTTGAATGGGAGCACGAGTTGTCTGGGCGTCTTGTACCAGCTTGACAATCTGGCTGAGCTGGGTGTCCCGGCCTGCACGAGTGACACGAAAGTCAACTCGCCCCGCGCCGTTGACAGTGCCACCGATCAATAGGCTTCCCTTTTTCTTCTGGACGGGCATGGCTTCTCCAGTAACCATACTTTCGTCGACATATGTCTCACCCATAACAATAACACCATCTGCGGGAATCTTATCACCGGGACGAACGAGAACGATGTCGCCGACCTGGATAAGCTCTGTAGGAATGACCTTCTCGTCCGCTGCATTGCCTTCACGCGGCTCTTGAGAGTCGGAAGAGTCTGCGTTGCGATCCCAACCCTCGGCAGCCTTTTGCGCCGCGATGGGGTCTGCATAAATGGTAGCCATCGATGGAGCCAAGGACATGAGGCGTGAGAGTGCCTTGGATGTCTGACCCTTGGCCCGGTTCTCGAGGAAACGGCCAAAGGTGATGAAGGTGATCAGCATGGTACTTGTATCGAAGATGGTGCTCGGCCGGGTGTGCGGAGGAAATAATATCGAGACGGTCATGGCGACAATGCTGAAGAAGAAAGCACACGAGGTGCCGAGAACAACAAGGACATCCATAGTCGGCGATTTATGTTTTATTGACTTCCATGCCGAAACATAGAAGCGCTTTCCGATGCCAAACTGAACCGGTATCGTGAGAACTAAGCAGACCACATCTCCAAGGTATAGACCTGGAATTAGTCTGACCTTGCCAAAGTCAAGGAACTTCAGGAACATGGGAAAGATCATGCTGATAAAGAAGACCGGGATAGCGAAAGCAGCCGAGATTCTGAACGCCTGCTTCCATTCGTTGATTTCTCGCGTCTTGGCGAGCGACTCCAGCTGGGCATTGTTGTCATCATTGTCTGCCACAAGGGCATTGAAACCAGCGCCCTCGACGGTCTCGACAATAGCTCGAAGTCCTGTAACATTAGGTAAATGGGTGACAGTCAGCCTGGATGTCGCAATGGCTAGTTTGGCACTGGCGACTCCGGGCAGCGCAAGAACCGCATCTTCTAGCTTGTTGGCCGCGGTAGCGTCAAGATTTCCATAGATCTTGAATTGTGCTGTCGAAGTACTACCAGACTGACTGGGCTGGTCAAATGTACTGGTTAGAATCTTGGCATCAAACCCACGATCTTCGATGATCTCGACGATCTTGTCAGCCGGCAATAACGTTGGATCGTGCAAAATAACCGCTCGCTCAGCGAGAAGGCTGATGTTGAATTTCAGAACCCCGTTCACATCCTTGAATCCTTGTTCCACAGCTGAAGTGCAGGCGCCGCAAGTCATACCCTCGATAGCTACTGTCGTGGTCGCATTTGACGGTTGGGAGGATGTCGCCGCGCCGGGAACAGATTCTCTCTCGGGCTGCTTATGGACACTCTCAACAACAGTCGCCCCAAATCCGCGGTCTTCAATGGCTTCGCAGATGCCATCGGCACTCAACAGTGTCGGGTCATGCTCGATAACAGCTCTCTCGGAGAGTAGGGAAATGCTAAAATGTCGTACGCCGGATACGTCCTTGAATGCGTTTTCGACCGCTGCTGTGCACGCGCCGCATGTCATGCCCTCGATTGCGACAGTAGTGATCATTAATGGGGAGTCATCGGAAGCTTCCGGGTCTTGTTCGGGGTGCCTGGCGATCATAGGCGTCGGGAGGTCGGTGGCCAGCACCTCGGCGTCGAACCCTCGGTCTTCGATGATTTCTTTAATTTTGTCCGCGGTTATCTGGTCGGGGTCGTGCATGACCACGGCGCGTTCCATCACCAGGCTGACCGATACGCTACCAACTCCGTTGACGCCCTTGAAGCCAGCTTCCACGGCCGAAGTGCAGGCGCCGCATCTGCGCGAAGTCAGTCACCATGTCTTCTCCACACCTCCGAGGAAGCCGAGACAAAGTCAAGTATTGTGCAACTCACGTCATGCCCTCAACCTTGAGGGTTGTGGTAGCCATATGCCCAGATGGGACTTGTATATTTGCGGGTGCCATCTTGCTGGTTCCGCAAGAGCTCGTACAACGAGGCCAAATGTTTTATCAAATACGCTGCAGCGCAAATGACTTGCGGAAAGCGAGATTTCGAAGCGCAGT